CACATGTGTTCTAACACCCAAGACTGTGTCAGGTTAAGTGAGCCAACACATGTGTTCTAACACCCAAGACTGTGTCAGGTTAAGTGAGCCAACACACGTGTTCTAACACCCAAGACTGTGTCAGGTTAAGTGAGCCAACACACGTGTTCTAACACCCAAGACTGTGTCAGGTTAAGTGAGCCAACACACGTGTTCTAACACCCAAGACTGTGTCAGGTTAAGTGAGCCAACACACGTGTTCTACACCCAAGACTGTGTCAGGTTAAGTGAGCCAACACACGTGTTCTAACACCCAAGACTGTGTCAGGTTAAGTGAGCCAACACACGTGTTCTATTACCCAAGACTGTGTCAGGTTAAGTGAGCCAACACATGTGTTCTAACACCCAAGACTGTGTCAGGTTAAGTGAGCCAACACACGTGTTCTATTACCCAAGACTGTGTCAGGTTAAGTGAGCCAACACATGTGTTCTAACACCCAAGACTGTGTCAGGTTAAGTGAGCCAACACACGTGTTCTATTACCCAAGACTGTGTCAAGTTAAGTGAGCCAACACATGTGTTCTAACACCCAAGACTGTCAGGTTAAGTGAGCCAACACATGTGTTCTAACACCCAAGACTATCACAACACAACACAACACCAATGCCATGGTGACGAGATACTGTGACGCACTCCAGGTGGGGGGAGTCACAACACATTACCCCTCCGATCTCACAATATACGAACACACAATAGTGAAAGGTTCCTGCTATAATTTTTCGTCGAAGTTCAGCATAATCTAGTCCCTGCCTGACCTATAGTAGCTGATAGCTAGATAGGTGAGAGAGAGAGAGAGTTAGGTTAGGTTAGGTTAGGTTAGGTTAGGTTAGGTTAGGGAGTAAGATGCATTCATTTTCTACTCCACATATCAAGAAGCGCTCAATACACTGACCCTCTGGGCTCTCTCTGATAATAACCACGACCTTATCTGCAAATTTGGGGAGAACCTTTTGCACCATCCTCTCCACCCGCTCCCGCTTCCACCCGAGATCCCTCGTCTGCGAAATGCTGTTCAACACCACAACCACATCCAGCCCATACGAACACGTACTGATCGCTATAAGGCGTGGTAGACGGCGGGGGTATGGGTGGTTGATCTTACCTGGAGGGCATGGTAGAGGGTGTGGGCGTTGGTAAGGACGTGGAGGATCTTACCTGGAGTGCATGGTAGAGGGTGTGGGCGTTGGTAAGGACGTGGAGGATCTTACCTGGAGGGCGTGGTAGGTGGGTGTGGGCGTTGGTAAGGACGTGGAGGATCTTACCTGGAGGGCGTGGGAGTGGGCGTGTCGGTGTACATGTAGCTGGGTCCAGGCGCCATGATCCTTCCTGTAGTAGAGGGTGAAGCTGGTGACAGGGGCGCCTCCTGTGTCGCCTTGTTTCCACTGGACTTGTACACTGCGCTCTGATGACGAGGAGGCCAGCACTAGAGGCGCTGACGGTGGCACTGTAGGAGAGATAACAACACTGTAGGAGAGATAATGACACTGTAGGGGAGATGACACTATAGGAGAGATAATGACACTGTAGGGGAGATGACACTGTAGGAGAGATAACGGCACTGTAAGAGAGATAACGGCACTGTAGGAGAGATAATGACACTGTAGGGGAGATGACACTATAGGAGAGATAATGACACTGTAGGAGAGATAACGACACTGTAGGAGAGATAACAACACTGTAGGAGAGATAATGACACTGTAGGGGAGATGACACTATAGGAGAGATAATGACACTGTAGGAGAGATAACGGCACTGTAGGAGAGATAACGACACTGTAAGAGAGATAACGACACTGTAAGAGAGATAACGACACTGTAAGAGAGATAATGGCACTGTAAGAGAGATAACGACACTGTAGGAGAGATAATGACACTGTAGGGGAGATGACACTATAGGAGAGATAATGACACACTGTAGGAGAGATAGGAGAGATACACTGTAGGAGATAACACTGTAGGAGAGATAATGGCACTGTAAGGAGATGGCACTGTAAGAGATAACGACCCTGTAGGAGACATAACGACACTGTAGGAGAGATAACGACACTGTAGAGAGATAACGACACTGTAGGAGACATAACGACACTGTAAGATGAGAGATAGGAGAGATAATGACACTGCAGGAGAGATATCGACACTGTAGGAGAGATAATGACACTGTAAGAGAGATAACGGCACTGTAGGAGAGATAATGACACTGTAAGAGAGATAACGGCACTGTAGGAGAGATAACGACACTGTAAGAGAGATAACGACACTGTGTGTGAGAGATAATGGCACTGTAATATAGGATAACGACACTGTAGGAGAGATAACGGCACTGTAGGAGAGATAACGACACTGTAGGAAGATAACGACACCGTAGGAGAGATAATGACACTGTAAGAGAGATAACGGCAATGTAGGAGAGAAAGATAATGGCATCAAAGAGATAATGGCACTGTAAGAGATAACGACACCAGGAGATAACGACACTGAGGAGAGATAATGACACTGTAGGAGAGATAACACACTGTAGGAGAGATAATGACACTGTAAGAGAGAGAGCGCAACGCACTTTTTAAGAGAGATAACGACACTGTAGGAGAGAGGTCACACGTATAAGATAGTTCTACATTGTAGGAGAGATAACGAGACACTGTAGGAGTGAGGACAACGGCACTTGTAAGAGAGGTAACGGCACTGTAGGAGATAATGACACTGTAAGAGAGATAACGACACTGGGAAGAGAGGCAAATGGCACTGTAGAGAGATAACGACACTGTAGGAGAGATAACGACACTGTAGGAGAGATGATGACACTGTAAGAGAGATAACGGCACTGTAGGAGAGATAATGGCACTGTAAGAGATAATGGCACTGTAAGAGATAACGACCCTGTAGGAGACATAACGACACTGTAGGAGAGATAACGACACTGTAGGAGAGATAACGACACTGTAGGAGACATAACGACACTGTAGGAGAGATAATGACACTGTAGGAGAGATAATAACACTGTAGAAGAGATAACGACACTGTAGGAGAGATAATGACACTGTAGGAGAGATAATGACACTGTAGGAGAGATAACGACACTGTAGGAGAGATAACGACACTGTAGGAGAGATAATGACACTGTAGGAGAGATAACGACACTGTAGGAGAGATAACGACACTGTAGGAGAGATAACGACACTGTAGGAGAGATAACGACACTGTAGGAGATACCCACACTGTAGGAGACATAGCGACACTGTAGGAGAGATAACGACACTGTAGGAGAGATAACACACTGTAGAAGAGATAACGAGTTACTGTAGGAGAGATAATGACACTGTAGTAGAGATAACGACACTGTAAGAGATAACGACACTGTGGTGGAGAGATAACGACACTGTAGGAGAGACAATGACACTGCAGGAGGAGATAAACGACACTGGGGTGGTGGAGAGATAACGACACTGTAGGAGAGATAATGATATTGTAGGAGAGATAACGACACTGTAAGAGATAACGACACTGTAGAGAAAGATAATGACACTGTAGGAGAGATAATGAGACACTGTAGAAGAGATAATGACACTGTAGGTAGGAGCAACGACACTGTAGGAGTAGATAACGGCACTGTAGGAGAGATAATGACACTGGGTGGGTGGAGATAACGACACTGTAGGAGATACCATACTGCAGGAGAGATAATGACACTGTAGGAGAGATAATGACACTGTAGGAGAGATAACGTATACTGTAGGAGAGATAACGACACTGCAGGAGAGATAACACTGTAGGAGTAGATAACGACACTGTAGGAGATAACGACACTGGGGAGAGATAATGACATCAAGAGAGATAATGGCACTGTAGGAGAGATAATGACATTGTAAGAGAGATAAACTACAATGGGAGAGATAACGACATCAGGAGAGATAACGACACTGTAGGAGAGAGAGCCAGACACTGTAGGAGAGATAACGACACTGTAGGAGAGATAACGACACTGTAGGAGAGATAACGACACTGTAGGAGAGATAATGACACTGTAGGAGAGATAATGGCACTGTAAGAGATAATGACACTGTAGGAGAGATAATGACACTGTAAGAGAGATAATGGCACTGTAGGAGACATAGCGACACTGTAGGAGAGATAACGACACTGTAGGAGAGATAATGACACTGTAGGAGAGATAACGACACTGTAGGAGAGATAATGACACTGTAGTAGAGATAACGACACTGTAAGAGAGATAACGACACTGTAGGAGAGATAACGACACTGTAGGTTAGGTTTGGTAAGAGGGCCATGGCCATACACTTACCCAGGATGGTGAGAGAGAAAGTGATGTGGTCAGCTCCGTGTTTGTTGGTGACGGTACAGGTGTAGTTGCCGGAGTCCTGCCGCTGTGCCTCCTGCACCACCAGGCCTCCGTCACCCTTCACCAGGCGTCCCTCACCGCTCACCTGCCTCCCCTGGTACGTCCACACGAGGTGAGGGCGAGGCTGGCCCACGTGACCACATGAGAGGGCCACATCACGACCCCTCTCTGCCCTGATGGTGCTTGAGGTGGAATAGATGGCAGCGGGGACGGTGTTGGTGAGGGTGACTCTGGCTGCACCTGGCGGACCTTCTCCCACTCTGGTGGCTGCCACCCTCCACCTCCACCAGGCTCCCCAACACGTTGTCCACCTGCAACACCCGTCATGGGTCAGGTCTTCGTCGGTGAGTGAATATATGAGTCAATGGGTGAGTTAGTGGCGGGTGAATCAGTGCCCAGTGGCATGTCATTGAGTGAGTGAATGAGTCAGTGACATGCTGCGAGTTAGAGTGAGTGAGTGAGTAAGTCAGTGACATGCTAGGAGTGAGTGAGTGAGTGAGTGAGTAAGTCAGTAACATGCTGTGAGGAGGAGTGATGAGTGAGGAGTGGAGGAGTGAGTGAGTAAGTCAGTAACATGCTGTGAGTGAGTGAGTGAGTAGAGTAAGTCAGTAATACTGAGGGAGTGAGTGAAATCATAATGTCAAAATATAATCAGTATATAGTTAATGACCCACACTTAGTACTGCTTAATTGTACTCAAGGGATTGGAAGAACATTCTCAAGGGATTGTTATTGTACCAAGGGATTAAGTTATGTACCAAGGGATTGCTATTGCACCCAAGGATTAAGTTATTGTACCCAGGATTAAGTTGTACCCAAGGGATTGCTATTGTACTATGATTAGGTTATTGTACCAAGGATTAAGTATTGTACTCAAGGATTAAGTTATTGTACCCAAGGATTAAATTCAAGGATTAAGTTATTGCACCAGGGATTAAGTTATTTACTCAGGGATTGTTATTGTACTGGGATTGTTATTGTACTCAAGGGATTAAGTTATTGTACCAGGGATTAAGTTATTGTACCCAAGGGATTAAGTTATTGTACTCAAGGGATTGTATTGTACCCAGGATTGTTATTGTACTCAAGGATTGTTATTGTACCTCAAATTAAGGGATTAAGTTATTGTACTAAGGGATTAAGTTATTGTACTCAGGATTAGTTATTGTACCAAGGATTAAGTTATTGTACCCAGGATTGTTATTGTACTCAAGGGATTGTTATTGTACCGAGGGATTGTTATTGTACTCAAGGGATTAAGTTATTGTACTAAGGATTAGTTATTGTAACCTGGGATTAAGTTATTGTACCAAGGATTAAGTTATTGTACCCAGGGATTGTTATTGTACTCGAGGGATTGTTATTGTACTAAGGATTAAGTTATTGTACCAAGGGATTAAGTTATTGTACCCGGGATTAGTTATTGTACTCAAGGATAGTTATTGTACCCATGGATTGTTATTGTACCAGGGATTAAGTTATTGACTCAAGGATTAGTTATTGTACCCGGGATTAAGTTATTGAAGGGATTAAGATGTACCTCAAGGGATTAAGTTATTGAAATCTAAGGGATTGTACCAAGGAGTTATTGTACCAAGGGATTAGTTATTGTACCAGGATTAAGTTATTGATCGATTAGTTTGACTCAAGGGATTAGTTATTGTACTCAGGAGTATTAAAGATTGTACCAGGATTAAGTACACCAGGGATAAGTTATTGTACCGAGGATTGTTATTGTACCTGAGGATTAAGTTATTGTACTCAGGATTAAGTTATTGTACCCAAGGGATTGTATTGTACCCGAGGATTAATTATTGCACCAGATTGTACTAAGGGATTGTTATTAATTCAAGGGAGAAGTTATTGTACTCAAGGGATATTATTGTACCCAAGGATTAAGTTATTGTACCCAAGGGATAGTTATTGTACTCAAGGATGTTCTGCACCAAGGATTAAGTTATTGTACCAAGGATTAAGTTATTGTACTCAAGGGATTAAGTTATTGTACCAGGGATTAAGTTATTGTACCTAGGGATTAAGTATTGTACAAGGATAATCAAGGATTAAGTTATTGTACCAAGGATTAAGTTATTGTACCTGCGATGGGTTATTGTACCTCGAGGGATTGTTATTGTACCTGGGATTAGTTATTGTACCAAGGGATTAAGTTATTGCACCGGGATTAGTTATTGTACTGAGGAAGCTATTGTACTCAGATTGTTATTGTACCAGGGATTAAGTTATTGTACCGGGATTGCTATTGTACCAGATTAAGTTATTGTACCCAGGATTGCTATTGTACCGAGGATTGTTATTGTACTCGAGGGATTAAGTTATTGTACTAAGGGATTAAGTTATTGTACCCGGGATGGGTTATTGTACCATGATTAGTTATTGTACCCAAGGGATTAGGTTATTGTACCAAGGATTAAGTATTGTACCAAGGGATTAAGTTATTGTACCCCAAGGATTAAGTTATTGTACTGAGGATTGGTTATTGTACTCGAGGGATTAAGTATTGCACTAAGGGATTGTTATTGTACTCAAGGGATTAAGTACAATTCTAGGATTAAGTTATTGTACTCGAGGATTAAGTTATTGTACCAAGGGATGTTATTGTACCTGGGGATTAAGTTATTGTAATTCAAGGGATTAGTTATTGTACCCAAGGGAAAGTTGAATTTCAAGGATTAAGTTATTGTACCAGGGATTGTTATTGTACTGGTTGGATTAAGTTGTACCCAAGGGATTAAGTTATTGTACCCAAGGATTGTTATTGTACCATGGATTAAGTTATTGTACTGGGATTAAGTTATTGCAATTTCAAGGGATTAAGTTATTGTACCCAAGGGATGTTATTGTACCTAAGGATAAGATTGTACTCAGGATTAAGTTATTGATTCCAAGGATTAAGTTATTGTACCCAAGGATTAAGATTGTACGCAAGGATTAAGTTATTGTACCAGGGATTAAGTTATTAAACGAAGGATTAAGTTATTGTACCAGGGATTAAGTTATTATTCCAAGGGATTGTTATTGTACTCAGCGGATTAAGTTATTGTACCCAAGGGATTAAGTTATTGTACTCAAGGGATTAAGTTATTGTACTCAAGGGATTAAGTTATTGTACTCAAGGGATTAAGTTATTGTACCCAAGGGATTAAGTTATTGTACTCAAGGGATTAAGTTATTGTACTCAAGGGATTAAGTTATTGTACCCAAGGGATTAAGTTATTGTACTCAAGGGATTAAGTTATTGTACTCAAGGGATTAATGACAAATTAAAGGATTAAGATTGTACCTAGGGATTAAGTTATTGTACTCAGGATTAAGTTATTGTAAAGGGATTGTTATTGTACTCAAGGATTGTTATTGTACCTGCGGGATTAAGTTATTGTACTCGAGGATTAAGTTATTGTACCAAGGGATTAAGTTATTGTACTAAGGATGTTATTAAAATTCTGCGGATTAAGTTATTGTACTCAGGGGATTAAGTTATTGTACTCAAGGATTAAGTTATTGTACCAAGGATTAAGTTATTGCAAAGGATTGTTATTGTACCAGGGATTAATTTATTGCACCAGGGATTAAGTTATTGTACCAAGGATTAAGTTATTGCAAGGGATTATGTACTCATGGGATTGCTATTGTAATTGGGATTAAGTTATTGTACTCAAAGGATTAAGTTATTGTACTCAAAGGATTAAGTTATTGTACTCAAGGGATTAAGTTATTGTACTCAAGGGATTAAGTTATTGTACTCAAGGGATTAAGTTATTGTACTCAAGGGATTAAGTTATTGTACTCAAGGGATTAAGTTATTGTACTCAAGGGATGACTTACTTGTACCCAGGTAACTGTACCAGCTACGGTTATCACGCCCTCACGCCCTCGTCCGCCGCCCATACGTGTCTCCACCGCCCGCCAGGTGACTGTGTACGACACGATGCGTCCCCCTGGTCAATGGCGGCGCCCACGATACTATGAAGGCTCCGGGACCAGCCACAACGCCCCGCACATCATCCGGCCTGCCTGGGACTGTTGTGGTAACTGTTACTCTACTGCCTCTAACTCTGCTGCCTCTAACTCTGCTACCCTAACTCTGCTGCCTCTATCCTGCCTCCTCACCTGCTGCCCTAACCCTGCTGCCCTCACCCTACTACCTCTAACTCTGCTGCCTCTTCCCTACTACCCCAAACTCTACCACCTCTAACCTGCTGCCTCTCACCCTGCCTCTAACCTGCTGCCTCTAACTCTGCTACCTCTAACCTGCTGCCCTCTAACCTCACCTGCCTCACCTGTCTGCCTCTAACTCCTGCCTCCACCTACCACCTAACCCCTGCTGCCCTGCCCTATCACCCTACCTCACTACCTCTAACCTGCTGCCTCACCTGCCGCCCCACCACTGCCTCCTCACCTGCTGCCTCTAACTCTGCTGCCTCTAACCCCACTGCCTCCTCACCTGCTGCCTCTAACTCTGCTGCCTCTACCTCACTACCTCTAACTCTACACCTCCTCACCTGCTGCCTCCTCACCTGCTGCCTCACTCTGCTGCCTCTAACTCTGCCTCCTCACTCTACTGCCTCCTCACCACTGCCTCTACCCCTGCTGCCTCTAACTCTGCTGCCTCTCACTCTGCTGCCTCTAACTCCGCTGCCCTAACTCTACTGCCTCACCTGCGCTCTAACTCTGCTGCCTAACCCTGCTGCTCACTCTACTGCCTCCAACTCTGCTGCTCTAACCCTGCTGCCTCACCTCACTGCCTCCTCACCTCTACTGCCTCACTCTACTGCCTCACCTCACTGCCTCCTAACTCTACTGCCCTAACTCTGCTGCCTCTAACTCTGCTGCCTCTCACTCTGCTGCCTCTCCCACTCTACTGCCTCTCACTCTGCTGCCCTCTCACTCTACTGCCTCTCACTCTGCTGCCTCTCACTCTCTGCCCTCTCACTCTGCTGCCTCACAATACTGCCTCTCACTGTACTGCCTCTCACTGTACTGCCTCTCACTGTACTGACACTCACTATACTGCCTCTCACTCTACTGCCTCTCACTGCCACTGCCTCTCACTCTGCTGACACTCACTCTACTGCCTCATTATACTGCCTCTCACACTGCCTCTCACTGCTACTGCCTCTCACTGCTACTGCCTCTCACTGTGCTGACACTCACTCTACTGCCTCTCACTGCTGCCTCTCACTGCACTCTCATTGCCACTGCCTCACCTGCCTCACTATACTGCCTCACTGTGCACACACTCACTATACGCCTCTCACTACTGCCTCACCTTACACTCTCACTATACGCCTCTCACTCTACTGCCTCTCCCTTACCACTGCCCCTCTCTCACTATACTGCCTCATTATACTGCCTCTCATACTGCCTCTCACTATGCCTCTCACTATACTGCCTCTCACTGTGCTGCCACTCACTATACTGCTCTCACTATACCTCTCACTGTACTGCCTCTCACTGTACTGCCTCTCACTGTACTGCCTCTCACTGTACTGCCTCTCACTGTACTGCCTCTCACTATACTGCCTCTCACTATACACTCTCATTATACTGCCTCTCACTATACTGCCTCTCACTGTACTGCCTCACACACTATACT